AGACTTACAGAAATAGAAAGTGGTGGTTTCCAGTAGCTGGGTGGAAGGGAAAATGGAGAGTTTCTGCTTAATGGATAGAGAGTTTTAGTTTTAACAGGATGAAGATTTTTGGAGACTGGTTGCACAACAATACAAGTGTATTTAATGCTACTGAGCTGCATACTCAAAAATAGTTGAGATGATAAATTTTGTTGTGTGTACTTTGCCAAAATTGGACTTTTGAAAATTAAAATGAAAGAAAGAAAGAGAGAGAAAGAAAAAGCAAACTAGGCTCTTGAATTTAGAAGTAAGGAAGAATGAACTCTCTTCCTGGGACACAAAGGAGGTATCTTGAAGACAGCCTTTGTCCCTGACCAGGAGCTGTGCCTAGGGCTGTATTTTTCAAACAACTGGTAACCAAGGCCAGTGTTTGTTTTCTTATTTCCAATTCCTTGCATACAAAATATTACATTCATTTCTAGGAAAATATAATACAAATTTTTATTAGATTTCACATATATCAAGCTGCCATAAAATTTCCCAAGTGCTTACATTTCCTTCATCAGCACTGGTTATGGACCACCGTAGGCAGTACCTATCTATAAAGGGCTCCATCCTCCCCTAACTTGGGAGAGGGCAGAGAAAGCAGGGCTCAGAAACAAGGCTGTGGGGTAAGAATCTATCTTCTTAACATAAAGACATGGCAACTGTGGGAAACTATTTCTCTATCTGCAGATATTGTTCCCATAGAAAGCTGCTAAAGACTTTGTAACAAGTAAAATTTGGGGTTACACTCTTAGGCCTTTAATTCTTGAGAGTTAGTCATGGATAGGGGATGGGAAGTGTGGTCTAGAGAAACAACTTTCTTGTATCCCAAACCATCCTGCCCTCAAAACCAAAACTCTAGGACTGGGGATATAGCTCAGTGGGAGAGTGCCTGCTTAGTGGGTTCAGTCCCCAGTACTACAAAAATAAGTAAATGAATAAATTCTTAAAGTATAATTGAGAACCTCTAATAAGAGCTATGTGTCGTCTGCTGAATAAAGATTTAGTTCTCTAAAAAATATTATTCAACTTTAACATTCAACTTGACCACTTCTGTCTAGCCTGACAAGTACCAGTGTTTTATAGGAGCACAATGAGAAAATCTTAGCTTAAGCCTTGCAGCTATTTTTTCTTTTCAGCAATTTTTATCTTTGACTTTATTTCTAGCATTATTCTTTTGAAAAAGTTCAGAAGTTCACACATGAGAAAGATTTAAGAAATTCAATTTGGGACTATCTGGGCCATTTTAAATGGATTTATTTAGTCACTACTTTACAAAAACAATGAGGAACAGAGATGATTAAGTAATCTCTAGCAAATTTAAGATTAAAACTAGATTTCTTCTTTGGGGAATGGCCTAATTTGCTCTAAGCATAGAAAACTTCTACGAAAAAAAGTCAAGAAAGGTGAAATGACACACGCAAAAGATAAAACAGGCCATTCTAGAAATTCCTGATTTTGAAGTCAACAGGAAACAAACAATAACAACAACTAACAAACCCTCTAGGTCTATAAATAACATTATCACTGGCCATAAAACCTGCATTCATTTATGGGTGCTTGAAATCTGTACTCTGATTTTAACAGAGACTCTATTAAGTGCTTCTACAAAAACGAGTAGAACAAACCAAACCAAATGGACAATGAAGATATGGCAGAAGCAACTCAGAACACACACACACACACACACACACACACACACACATACACACACAGTGCCAGAAACATCCCACCACTTCAAGAAAGCATTTCCATAGCCCACCATTCTCTATCTTTTATATTTGCCCAAACAAAAGCCTATACAGGGACTAACTTACAGGAAATGTAGATAAGGGGAACATTTCATTCAGCAAAATGTACAATCACTGTGGGTACTCAACAGGCTAATGCGGAAACAGTAAGCCTCACTGAAGAATCAGTAAAGTATCCAACTTACTGAAGTCAGCTCTATCTAGACTGTTTCTTTTACTGGTTTATGGCCCATATTTACCCATTTTTAATACTAACTCAGTGTTAATTTAAAACCTAAATTTACAGAGGGCTGATGTGAAAATTGT